GTTTAACTGCTCTTAGGGGGTTTTAGCTCCCCAAATTTGTGTCATCTATCAATACTCTGAATTGGATAAGAACCTCTAATTCTTTATGTACCTGCTCTATCTCCCTAACGTGAGTTCATTAGCAAACATCTTTCTTGGTGCTCTCCTCCCTTGGAGATTAATCTAGGATTTAAATGTCCCCTTGCTCATGTCTGTGATGTGACCAATGAGAAGGTGGGCTTATAAAAGAGGAGCTTATACTATTCTGATGGCTGACTTGTAAAAATTGTAATATGATTGACCTATAACATTATATTAGTTTTAGGTATACAACATAATGTTTCGATATTTGTATATATTGAGAAATAAATGATCACCACTGTAAGTATAGTTAACATTCACCTCCATACATAGTTACAAAAATTTATTTTCTTGTGATGAGAACTTTCAAAATCTACTCTTTTAGCAATTTTGAAATATACAATACAGTATTATTAACTATAATTGTTATGCTGTTCATTGTAGCTCCATAGTTTATTTATTTTATAACTGAAAGTTGGTACCCTTTTAAAAAAATACATATTTTATGGATTTCAGAGAGGAAGGGAGAGGGAGAGAGAGATAGAAACATCAATGATGTGAGAGAATCACTGATCAGCTGCCTCCTGAACACCCGCTACTGGGGATCCAGCCCACAACCCATGTGCCCTGACCGTGAATTGAACCATGACCTCCTAGTGCACAGGTCGATGCTCAACCACTGAGTGACACTGGCCAGGCATGGAAGTTGGTACCTTTTGACCCTCTTTAGCAGTTTCAACCCCCACTCCCACTTCTGGCAACCACCAATCTATTCTTTGTATGTATGAATCTATGAGTGTGGTTTTTTTTTGTTTTTAGATTCCACATATAAGATCATATGCCATTTGTTTTTTTCTATCTCATTTATTTCACTTAGCATAATGCCCTCAAGACCCATCTACGTTGTCAGAAATTTTTTTGTTATAAAACCGATGTATAGGAGAGGCAAAAGTAGGTTTATAATTGTTTGTATGAAAAAATACAATAATTAATAAATAATAATACAAGAATAAACTGTGTTTTGCATCCCCATAATTATAAACTTACTTTTGGCCCACCCTATATGCTCACAACAGAAAAATTCAGATTGAAAAGAAAAATAACATCTATATCACACAGCTAGAGACACTTAAGTTAATCTTTTTTTAAAAAAAATTTTATTGATTTTTTTACAGAGAGGAAGGGAGAGGGATAGAGAGTTAGAAACATCGATGAGAGAGAAACATCGATCAGCTGCCTCCTGCACACCTCCCACTGGGGATGTACCCGCAACCAAGGTACGTGCCCTTGACCGGAATCGAACCTGGGACCTTTCAGTCCGCAGGCCAACGCTCTATCCACTGAGCCAAACTGTTTAGGGCTAATTAAGTTAATCTTTACATACAGATAAACATAGAGAATCTCAAATTTGTGTATCATACTTGATGCTCATAGTTTAATTTAAAAAGTGATTTATATTACATATACAGTACATTTCCCCCCAATTTGGCAGATTCCAAAAGAATCCTTCCATGTCATCAGTTATATTTCAGCAATAGATAATAATGGCTGCATATTTCATTACATAGATGTACCATAATTTCTTTCTTTTCAAAATTAGTTTTAGTAAATAATCCCTCACTGAAGGACACTATGATTACTTCTAATTTTTTTAATGATTATTCAAGCAAATAAAGGGGAGGGAATGATCAAAAAATCGCTCCAGCCCTAGCTGGTTTGGCTCAGTGGATAGAGCATCGGCTTGCGGACAGAAGGGTCCTAGGTTCGATTCCAGACAAGGGCACATGCCTGGGTTGCAGGCTCGATCCCCAATAGGAGGTGTGTAGGAGGCAAGCAATCAGTGATTCTCTCTCATCATTGATGTTTCTATCTCTCTCTCCCTTCTTCTCTGAAATCAATAAAAATATATTTTTTAAAAAGTCACTCCAAAGTTTTAAATCTCGATAATTGAGAAAATGAATTACATAATAAAAATCTTTAAATACTATACTTGATAGTCACCAGCAGAAGCAATCTGCAGTCTGAAAAGCTTTATGCCATAAAGAAAGAAATGGAAGAAACACATTTATAAAGCTTCCTAAATGGTCCAGCACAAACGACCAAGGCTTATGGCAGACGTGGCTTCTGGATTGATGATACAAATGCACTCATTCATTTCACTTCAAAGAAAAACAGAAAAAAGTGTCTGTCATAAGATCAATAAGTCCAGAGTGAAAAACAGGTTTCCTCAAATTCAGGATGATAAAGAATTTCATAAAATAAAACCCAGAAATTGTTTTCTATAGACTTCAAAACACTGAAAATAACATGAAATTTTTGAGTTGAAGAAAATGTGGGCAAAAGTCTTTAGAATAAAAAAATAGAGAAGATTTTTCTAAATACATCACAAAACTGCAAACATGTACAAATTAACTTCATATGACAACAACCCAACAGGCTGAAAATAAGTGGAAAAAAACTAAGAAAAATACCTGCAACATATGACAGTCAAATAATTAATATTTCTTAATATAGAAAGAGCAAATGAAAAATCAAAATAACTCCTTACAAGCTAAATGGGCAGAAGACATGAAAAAGCAATTCACAAAATAAATAAAAATGGCCAATAAACACATGAAATAGGTTGAATTTCAGAGAAATTAAAACGATTGACAATCTCATCTTTGTGAGCATGCCTGTGCAAAGGAAGACAAAGTAATTCAGAAGGAAATTTGCAATAAGTATAAAAATACAAACATCTTTTGAGTCATTAATCTTACTTCTAGGAATTAACCATAATAAAACAATTATATGTATATACTGCAGTATTGCTTTTCATATAAGATAAAGAAAATAAATCAACTGTGTACAATGGAGAATTGATGAAATAAATTAAGGCATATAGGTACATACAACAGACAAGCATTTAGCTATAAAAAATGTCAACAGCAGGTCTACATTTGTTGGTGTTGAAAGCCATCCATGAGACTGTAATGTTTTAAAAATGAGGCAGTTTAGAGCATAGACTATATGATGTGGTCTTATTAATGTCAAATGGTTACATAGATTATTACATAGAAATATCTGAAAGGGTGGTCACCAAAATGTTAACAGTAAACCCTGGTGATTTTCACAAACATCAGGATAATTTTCTGAATTTAAAATATAATAATAAGTGTGTTTTTTTTAAAGTATATTTTTATTGATATCAGAGAGGAAGGGAGAGGGAGAGAGAGATAGAAACATCAATGATGAAGAGAGAATCATTGATTGGCTGCCTCCTGCATGCCCCCTATTGCAGATGCAGCCCACAACCCTGGCATGTGCCCTTGACTGGAATCAAACCCGGGACCCTCCAGTCAACAGGCTGACACTCTATCCACTGAGCCAAACCAGCTAGGGCATAAATGTGTTATTTTTTATAAAAATAAGAGATTCATTTATGACAGCTCAACTCTTTTACTCCCAACAAGATGGATTTTGTCTCTCTCTCCTTTGGCCATCAAGGCCAGCTGGCCATTTAGTGTTTGCTTTGTTTTCTTGTTAACTTGATAAATGTAGTAGAACAAAGACTCTGTCTGGTCTTGGTCCTGGGTTCGTAGCAGAAGCTTCAGAAGCCCTGGGAATTTCCTGAGTGACAGTATCTTTGTTAGGTGACTCCTATTGGCCCCGAGATAGCTTCAGCATTGGGACTTTCAGCCTTTGAACTTCAGGGAGTAAACAGAGGGTTGAAAATGATGTGGCCAATGTTCCAATCAATGATGCCCATGGAGGAAGCCTCAATAAAAACTTTGGACACCAAAGGTCTGTGGAGCTTGCTGGTTGGCAAACACCTTGATGTGCTGGGAGAGTGCCCTGACACCACAGGAAGCGGGCATGGGAGCTGTGTTCTCTCCCAGATCTCACCATCATGTACCCTTTCTAATAAAGTTGTACTAGTGCCCTCCTGGCTCTGTGAGTCACTCTAGTGAATTGTTACACGAGGGGAATCGTGGACACCTCTCAGAGCCAATTGGTCAGAATTGTGTGTGGCCTGGAGGACACCCACCCCCACCTCAGACATTTGGCTACAGTCTGAAGTAGGGGTGGTCCTGTGGAGGACTTCGCCCTTATCCTGTGAGGTCTGCACTAACTCCAGGTATTTAGTGTCAGGACTGCATTGCAGCACACCCAGTTGGTTTTGGTGTCAGACCAGTTGAGTTGACAAGACCAGTAACCATCCTAAGTAATGATATAATACTATTTTCTATAACTGATACTTTTGAGAGTAGAGGACATATCATAATCTGGTAAATGGCCAAAAGCTTTGTTGATCACGTTTTGTGATTTTTATACACAAACAATAAAATTCAGGAATTGTTTATCTTTCTTGGGTACCCAAATGCCTCCTTATCTCTGCCATTCATGCAGCTCTCCCAAGCATTATTCCCATACACTGTGCACCCCTAGTAAAGCACTTATCACTGTGTGCTGCATTTGCCTATGCCTCTCTCATATGCTAAACTGTGAATTCCAAAGCAGGAACCACATATTACCCACCTTTATATTCTCAGAGCCAGCCAGTGCCTGGTCTTGAGCATGGTTTTGAGGCCAGAAACCTCAGTATCTACCTTCCTGTCTGTCTGGGTGATGCCCAATCTTGCTGGGCCAAGAGCACAGCAAATGCCCCATAAGTTTGGTAAATGAATGACTGAGTCAACAAAACAGCTCTGAACACACACAAAAATCACTTCCGTGAAAGAACATGGTAGATCAGAGAAATAAGTAACCTCTGAAGGGAAACAGTAAATAAAAATAAGATTCCTTTAAACACAATAAGAAAAAAGGGGATAGTGTCAAGTATTCTTTTTCTCTTCTCTTAGATCTTTGTGGTCTTTTATTATGATAGAAAATCAGTTTGAAGGACTAACTTTTCTCCCTAGTCAGAATGCTATTATCCTTCTTATAATGTGTCCACTCACCTTTTAATCTTGCATCGCCCCCAAAGGCACCGCAGCCCCAGTTTCCCGTGGCCACTGCAGAAAGATTCTCTGAAGAAATCCCAGGACGGAGAAATCCACAGTAAGCCTGCAGGATTAAACAAGTATCAAAGCACATGAGTGACTGGACACTAGCAGTCTTTCTAACTAGATGGACTGGAGCAGTATCCATTAGCAAGCTTATGTTATCTCTCTATTTTTCCTTAGGGGACAAAATAAAGGGAAAAACAAAAAGTTGTGGGATTATACAAGAAAGAGAGTAAGAAATGATTAATTCTAATACTTATTTGCTTTGATGCTGGGCAAATCAAAGCCCTAAAGCCAGGGGTGAGGAACGTCCAACCTGCGGGCCTTACCAGCCCTGCGACACCATGTGCTCGGCCCTCCATGGCATGAGGGGTGAGTTAATTAAATGTTTGACCAAACAGAGCAGGCTAATTTTTAAGTTGATAATTTTGTATGGCCTGAGAATGATGTTATAAATATCCAAATGGCCCTCGGCAGAAAAATAGGTTCCCCACCCCTGCCTTAACCCAACATGGGCCTCAGTTTCTTTTTTCAATTCAAAGACATAGAAATGAAAATATCAGCGACATTTCAAGAGCTGGTAGCATCACAATGACACACTACCAGGAACTAACTAAAGATAGGAAAGGCACGTGAAACACTGCTTTATTTGAAGGCTTTTGATCACCATTTTTTCATTAAGGTAAAGAGCAATTACTATTATGTTTTCTTAGCACTCTCTCTGAATTATTGGAACTAGATTAATAACTGTGAATAGCTTTTTAATGTGCCTCCTGCCACTAAAATGCTTAACAATGAGAAAGCAGCTATATTATAAAAGGGATTCCTACACCTGGTTACAAAATAATCCTAAGAACCATTCCAGCTCCAAGATTCTCTAGTTTCAAGCTGTTTTAAACGAGAATATTTTAAAATGTATTTCTCAGTAACCTGAGAAAAGAACAACATATCCCAAGGATGCTGACTAAGTATTAATTACATGAACAGTTCATTTTGTATGAGAAGACTGCAGTTTAAGGTCCCAGAGTTTCTGATGTCCATTTTTTTTCCTATCAGCCTGGTTGGTCTCCCTGCTTCCTAAGGGTTCTTAGTTTTCTAAAACTATCAAACTCTATTAAGAGGTTGAGTACAATAGCAAAGCAAATCTTCCTGGGTTTTCTCAAGTAAGAATCAAAGCCAAAAATATAGCTTATGCATAATCATAAATAAAATAAAAATGACCTGTGACAGATGTTCCCAGAGAAAAGCCAAGTATAAAGAAAGATGCTCTATGAAATCCACACACAGATTTACAGTCAATTGTTCTGTGAAATTTCCACAAAGGTATAAAAATTTTACCCACTGTCTGGATGGATTAACAAGGCAGTTCCTTCCACCCCTCCTAGGCTGTAAATCCTGACAGATACTAATTATAAGCTGCCACCACACCATTATTCAATGATGCGGTGCAGAGCTTACACCAGAACTCACAAATGACCTGTAAAATTAGATGCATGGAGCTTCTGAAAATCCCTTTCAGGTAAAACATATCAAAAAACTCGATTTTTTTTTTTTTTAGCAGATTCTTGAAAGATATTCTCTCCCTCCCTTTATGCCAACAAGAAAGGGAGCACACTCTGTCAGAGTAGATGTAAGTTTGGTTGCCTGTCAAGTTCTCCTACCATGCCTCGCTGAAGAGGGAGACCTCTTAGCTTCCATGTTCATGCCATTTCTGTTCTATATGTCAGACTGGCTTTAGTCTCTTCTCACTGCTATCTCTACATATCTAAGCTAACTTTTCTTTAAGGAACAAAAATAGCTTCCTGAAACAAAAGCCTAACAACAGAATTTTAAATATTTAGATTAGAAGCAAAATCTAATATAAAGTATTAACCAATTTTACCAAAAAAAATCCTATCCTAAAAAACAGCCACAACTAAAACAAACTATATGACTGAAATTAACCTGCATTTGGTGTTTTTATCAAATAAAACTTTAAAAAGATAATCAGAAATTAAATGATATAAAACAATTACATGATAATTAGATATAAAAATAACTGTTTGTAATAATTAATTACAAAATTCTTTTATTCTGTTAGAGCCAAACATTTCCAAGGTCAGAAAGAGGAGAGAAGCAGCAAGCCCCTCTAACGTCCCTGAAGAGGGACAACCATGCTCCTTCTCCAGCGAGGACAGGGTCCCTCAAACGCTAGAACCAGGGCAGCGTCACTGTCAGGGAGTTCTTTCCTTTCACAGGAGTAATTGAGCTACTTCAGTAAGAAACAACCATTGGGTAAGGATAGAGACCTTAAAACAGGGGTCTTCAAACTTTTTAAACAGGCGGCCAGTTCACTGTCCCTCAGACCGTTGGAGGGCCGGATTATAGTTTAAAAAAAGAACTATGAACAAATTCCTATGCACACACACACTTTTGTAAAAACTCAGTCTGCAACATTAATTTTAGCAGGCTCAAGTAGATATAATTAAACTATGTCTTTCACTATACTATAAACATATTATTTTACTTGCTAGATTAATAATTTAATTAGGAATAATAATTATTTAACTTAAAGTAATATAGTTGGTACTGATACTGATTTTCTGAGGTTTTAGAATACTGTGATTTCTTAAAAACAAATACAACAAAAAAATTAAAAAGGAAAGAAAAAACAACAAACATAACATAAAAAATCCCTTAAGAATCATGGGAACATATGTGTTAAGTTTGCAGTGACAGATGATTACTAAATTTAATGGGGTGATCACACTGTAAGATATAAAAATGTTGAATCACTATATTATACACCTGAAAGTATTACAACTAATATAATACTGTATACCAATTATACTTAAGAGAATCTTTTGGAAGATAATAAAATAATATTAATTAATAGTCTTAAAACTATCCTTAGATTCAGTTAATCAATTTTATAAACTTCTTTTGCTACTTTATTAAATAGCAACTGTGTAAAGTTGTTTATTACTATAGTATGTATATGTACAATAGAGAAAAACTTGGTACCACCTAATTGTTCAAAACAGTAGTTAAGTCACAGTATATCAATCCCACAGATTTTATGCCTATTAAACATATTATGAAGATTATTAGAAAGTATGAAAAATATCTATAATATAGGGCTAAAATAAATAGGTAAAATACAAAATTATAGGTACTTTTTGAACAGATATATATGAAGCTAAATATTCATGTAGAAAGACCTATACAAATGAAAACAATTATTTAGATGATTTTTTATCTTTAAAATAACTGTAAGATTGCCCTAACTGGTTTGGCTTAGTGATAGAGCGTCAGCCTGCGGACTGAAAAGGGTCCCAGATTCGATTCTGGTCAAGGGCATGTACCTTGGTTGCGGGTACATCCCCAGTAGGGGGTGTGCAGGAGGCAGCTGATCGATGTTTCTCTCTCATCGATGTTTCTAACTCTCTATCCCTCTCCCTTCCTCTCTGTAAAAAGTCAATAAAATATATATTTAAAAAATAAATAAAATAAAATAACTGTAAGATTAATAAATTGATTTTGCTTTTTAAAAAATGCAATATAAGCCCTTGCTAGTGTGCTCAGTGGTTAGAGAGTCGCCCCAAGCATCAGAAGGGTCTTTGGTTCAATTCCCGGTAAAGGGCAGGTACCTGGTTTCAGGTTCAATCCTTGGCCTGGTCAGGGTGCATACGGGAGGCAACCAATCAGTGTATCACTCTCACATCTATCTCTCTCACATCTCTCTCTCTCTCTTCCCCCCCACCTCCTTCCCTTTCTCCCTCTCTCTCTCTGCCCCTTCCCCCCACCTCCTTCCCTCCCTTTCACTCTCTCTCTAAAAAAAAAATCAATGGAAAAAAAATATCCTTGGGTGTGGATTAAGAACAACAAAAAAAGCAATATAAAATGAAAGAATTATGCAGACTGTAGTTTTCTTTCTTATGTGTAAAACAGAAGATTAGAATAGGTATCTGTTTGGTTATTCTGATTCTATATATTGAGAAACTTAGGGGAAAACTCACTTGAACTAATATTTCTGAAAAGTAGTGACACATTTCAAGAAAAGATTATAAATGATCAGATGTTGAACTTCCTAGACATATCAGCAGCAAGTATTGATTGGTTTTGTTAATCAAGCTCTGGTTTAATAACAAGCCCCTTCTAAATTTGGTGATAAGCAATAAAAAAAATCAATAAATGAATCAATTTTAAAAAAGTTAAATGGTAGTGATTTCCTGCTGGGGTGGTCTCTTCACTTTGTTAAATTTCTGACCCCGAAGCCTCCACAAAATACATTCATTACTTAATCTTACCTGAATGAGTCTAACCATGGCTAAATGCAGCTTTTCACAGATGATTTCTCTCTTCCCTTGCTGAGCTATTTGCCACTTTTGCAAGCTGGAGTCGTAAATCTTCCCAATCACAAAAATAACTCTCCTCTAGACTGTCACCCAGCTGATCTCTCAGGGGATTAAACACTGCTTCACAGCATCAGTTAGCTAAAAGGAGACTGACTTTTCCTTTTAAAAACCAACTCTACTTACAGGCCACATGTCGTCCAATAACACGAGTGGAGCCTAGATGAAGCAGACTGTTTCCAGAAGTGATCAAGCACTTTGTGGGATTGCCCTTCAATTATTATCTGGTGGCAATGCCCCAAGTAGCAGATAGGCCTCTAGAGTTCAAAGATCCACCCTGAATTCTGATGGTGAAAACTGGTCTTATGTTTGTTGCTTCATTTAGAAAAATAGAGTTTTTCTATTCATTCCTACTTTCTCTCTGGCATGCAAAAAAAAAAAAAAAAAAAAAAAAGTAGAATTGTGCAAGTCATCTCTAAAGTGATTTAATATAGACTTCTGCTTTAAACCCAAGTTGACAAAACACAATGAGATGTAAAACATTTAATACCCTCTCCAAGTTGTGCTGTCAGCTTCTGGAAAACTTCCTGTTGCATCTACTGAAATTTATTATTAACTCTCTTTTAATAGCTAAGTGTACCTAATAAGTTATGAAATGCTTTAATTTAGAAAGCCCAAAGTTATTTGGATTAGTTTTCTAATTAAGTTATTAGTAACATTTAACAAA